CCCTACAGGTGTGTCAAGCTGCCTAAAATCCCACCATTACAGTGCTGTGTGAGCTCAGCACAAAAGTCCACGCTCTTTTCTCCTGGAAGGGGCCCCTCCTCCCACTAATGCATCTTCGGGGATCAGGGGAGAGGAGAGAGCACCCCACCCAGTGCCCTCAGAGGGACTTACTCAGAGACGATGGTCAATGGCTCCCCCAGTCTCAGAGACAGCTCTGCCTGCTCGCCTACCGGGAAACTGCCCAAGGCCACAGCTTTGGCCTTGCTCCTCTCTGGATGGAGGGACAGAGATGGTCACCCTCTGGCCAGACATGAGTTCCAGTGGAGGCTGGGCTCCCACCATCCCTCCTCCCACGGGCACCCTAGGGCGGCATGCCTGCTGGGATCCCGGGATGGCAACCTGGAATCTGATGCTTTTGCTTTTCCATAGGGCTCTGCAGAGCCCTGGGGGTGCCCAGACATCTCTTGTGGGGGGGCCCTCGGGGAAAGGATTGGTGTGGCAAGAGGAGTGAGGCTCCTGGCTACAATCCCATTTTTATACAGATCATCACAGGAGATTCTGATAAAGGGATTCAGCAAACTTAAAGCCGACAGCTCTAAGCACGTATCAGCCTGGATCTCTGAGCTCAGCTTCTGAAAGGCACCGATGAGATGGCCACCAGATGGACTAGCTTTGAGGGGCTGGGAGGCGGCCATGGGAGAGGGAGGGCTCCCGGAGGGGCCCAGGAAATCACTGACCTGGACGGGCTTTGTAACTCTGGAGTGCCGTGCACGTGGGCAGAGTGGCTCCCCCGTGACCTCTGTCCAGAGCGACAGGCGTAGGTCTGTGCTGCCCCCTCAGAAGAGGTGAAGCCCCAGGGCCCACTGGGACAGGGCAGGAATGTGTGTCTCAGGCAAGTGTCCTGGTCACACAGCTGCCACCTCTTCCTGAGCACCTGCTCTGTGTCAGGGCCTGACGGGTGCTGAATGTGTCACCTCCATTCAGCCCCATTGCACAGCAAGGCAACCGAGGCTCCACGGGGCAGTCTGCCGGGGAGGGCGGGCACAGCTCCTATGCCACATCACCCTGTCCCTGTCCTCCCACGGGCCTAGGGTCGGGGGACTGGGCTGGACAGCAGCAGCACGTCTCTGAAAGGTCCAGACTCCCCAGGAGGCTGGCGTTCAGAGAGGGAGTCACAGAGACAGGACACCAAGCCGCCACACCCCACCCCATCACACCAGGGCTGGTCCTCAGCACGTGGTGGCCTTGAGGCCCAATTCTGAGGTTGGACAGCAGGCAGCAAGCGGCTCCCTTAGCACAGAATGCTCATCCCCTCGTCCCCAACTCAGGGACCAGCCTGCCCCGACCATCTAGACCTCCTGATGCCTGTCCAGGTCTACCTGTCCTGAAAATACACGGGCTGCAGAGCGCCCTTCACCCACACCCTAGCGCCCTCCCTTCTCTTCCTCCTACCCCATCTCAGTAGGGGTCTCTGCATTAAGCTATGAGAAGCGGTGAGGTCAGCAAGAAAGATTTATGTGCCTCACAGATGCTCCTCAGAGGCTGAGAGGCCTCTGTGAGGCCCTCTAGACAGAGCTGGGGCCCCAGGAAGTGAGGGAAGGACAGCAGAGGACAGACAAGGACCCAGGGGACGGGTGCGGCAGACACAGAGCTGGACGCTATGCGGGCTGAGGGCCTCTGGGACATGGGCAGAATGAGACTGTGATTCTGGAAATGGACCAGTTGCTACATGTCCTCCCAGACACACACTTGGGGACCCCCGTGGTGACCCCAGACAGGAGCTCCTCAGAACGTAGGGCCTGGCCATCCCTCGGTGCAGGGAAATGCCTGCCTGATGCCCAAATACACGGTGCAAGTAAGTATGGGGAGGGTGTCCTCTGACAAGAACAGAGCCAGGTGGCCAGAAGGGCCCCTCCCGCTCCTTGGAAGCCCTGGCCTTGCACCCCAGGAGCCACTGAGCTGCACATGCTGTTCCCCTGATGGGTCCCCTCCGGTGGCCGAGTCACCTTCATCCTTCACTCCTTGGATGAAACGTCTCTTCCCTGATGAGCCCCTCAGCACACACTCTTGGTCAGAGTCCCTTAAAACACTGTCATCAAAATCTAACACAGTTGTAATTGATTATTGGTTTAGCACCTGTCTCTGAGGTTTGACTGTCCCTGAACACAGGGACTGTGTCCGTCTTGTCCACTACTGTGTCCCCCGGTCCTGGCACAAGGCCTGGCATGGGGTAGAGCCTTGGTAGATTTTGGATGGATGCAAGGCTGATGGACAAAGGAGTTGCCCAGAATCCATGCTCCTGCTGGGACCAGGGATAGAAGTACTGAGAGAAGCCCATTCGTCCCCTGGAGACCCTGATAGAGAGGGGAACACAGTGCCCCTCAGTTCCCCCAGGCAAGGAGGGCCCCAGGACACCTGCCGGGGTCACCCCCTCAGCATCCTGGGCATGACTCAGAGCAGCCTCGGGGCCGCTGCCTGTGGCTAGATTCAGAGGAAATGAGGTGGGGGTCTGTGTGGTTTCCAGATCTCTTCCTGCAGGGCCTGCTGGGCCCCAGGCTCTCGGTGCACAACTGTGTGGCTAGAAGGAGGCAACTGCCTCTCCAGCAGGAGTCTACAGGGTCCAGGGTGCCGATCGATGACCAAGAGGGCTAGGGGAGGCTGCTGTTAAAGAGAGGAGGAGGATATTGGGGCTTCCCTGGCCGTCCAGTAGTTAAGACTCCACACTTCCAACACGGGGGTGCGGGTTCGATCCTGGGTTGGAGAACTAAGATCCCACGTGCTGTGCAGCACGGCCAAAAAGAAAAAAAAATAATAAAAAATAAGAGTATTTAAGAAAAAGAAAGGTGGATATTGGGGATGGGGGCTGAGGAGCAGAAAGGAAGCCCCAGCCATTGCAGAGGACTTTTCAGTTTGGGGGACAGCCTGCCAAGCACAGATATCCAGTGTGGCTCTGCAGTCGTCTACTTCTGTTTAACTGTGTGTCTGTGTCCTTCCTCCTAGAAGTGCTGCTTGGTTTAGAGTAATCTGGTTATCTCTGATGGCTGATTTTATGTGTCAACGTGGCTAGCCCACAGTACCTAGATATTTGGTCAAACACCAGTCTAGATGTTGTTGTGACACTATTTTTGAGACGAGATTAACATTTAAATCAGTAGACTTTGAATAAAGCAGATAACCCTTCATAGTGTGAGTGGGCCTCATCCAGTCAGTTGAAGATTTTAAGAGAAAAAGACTGAGGTCCTTTGAGGAAGGGAGAATCCTGCCTCTAGACTCCACTGTGGAATTCTGCAGCATCAACTCTTCCCTGGGTCTCCAGACCTCTGGCCTGCCCTGCAGACTTCAGACTGGCCACCCCACAGCTGCGTGAGCCAATTTCTTAAAATAAATTCTCTCTTACACACACGCACACACACATTCTACCGGTTCTGTCTCTCTGGGGAACCCTGACAAATACATTATCAAAACCAAATCAGAATGTGACTTGAGAAAGGATTTGTGGGCTGTTTCAGGGAACAAGAAACAAACTGGGGCTGTAGCTCTGACATCAAAGTACTAGATATTGCAGGATACTTTGATTGTCTAATCGTCCTAAAAACTGGTATTTTTTAGTCAGGACTGCCTCAGAAAACCACAATTACAGGTTCAGCCCATGCACTGCATGAACTCATTTTTTCCAATCATCATAGCTCTATTTTGCTTCAAGTATTTCACAGCACCTCTCAGGATAAGAGCATTTCTGTCCAGTAGGACTTTCTGCGATAATGGAAGTGTTCTATAATTTTATTGCCCAATAAGGTAGCCACTAGCTTCAAATGGCTGGAGAGCACTTAAAATATGGCTGGTGTTACTGAGGAGCTGAATATTTAATTTAATTTTATTTTAATTAACTTCAGTTTAAACTGAAATAGGTACATAAGGCTAGTGGCTATCGTGATGGACAGTGCAGCTTTGGAGAGCTATGGATGTGGGTTGGTATTAGGGTTGCAGCTCAGGCTCTGGATAAACTGGTTTAGGAGGAGGGAAGCCATGGGAGATGGCTGGGGGACCATCACACACTCCTGGTTAGTTCTGGTCACTCTCACATTTTCTAGTTTATCTGGTTTAATGTTATGACCACTAATATGTAAGCTTCCTAAGAGCAGGGACCCTGGCTGTGTGGTTCATGGGGAAGGCCTGGTATACAGCAGGTCCTCATTGATACTTGAGGCTGGAGTGGCTGCTCAGGAAGGGCCTGGCTGCCCCGGGGCCCTCGGCCTACCTGCTTGCATGGGCTCAGGACCCTGGCCTTGCACACAGGGGCTCAGGCTTGGGCTTGGAAGGGCTTTCCCCCTGCTGGGCTGACTTCCCATCGTTCCTCAGCAGAACACTCAGAAGTGCATCACCAAGAGAAATCTGAAAGAGATGCTGTGATGGGGACAGAGCCATGGTTCCCAGCCTGGTGCCCAGACACCCTCCCTCCCCAGCTCAGCCCTGCTGACCTCCTTGCTGACACAAGCAAATGAGATCCCTCCCATCAGGACCAGGTTCCAGCCCCTCCACCAGACTGTTAAGGCTTTCTGCAAACCGGACCCTGTTTTCTTTGCCTCCCATCTCTTCTATACTGTAGCCGTGCTCCGTTCTTTGTTCCTGGGCCTTTGCGTGTGTGAAGCCCCCTCCCATTACTGGAAGACCCTTTTTCCACTTCGGGCCTGTCTGGATCCCACCCTTCTCCAGGAAGCTTTCCCCGAATCCCCCAGCCCTAGCTGATCATTCCTATGGCTACTCAGAACCACTGCCTGACCTGGGATCACATTCTGCCACTGGGTGGCAGGGGCCAGTGACAGGACAGAGTTCACTCTAGGCACACCAGGACCCACGGCTAGGTGGGCAAGGGGAATCTGAGGGGGCTTGGGAGCTGGCTGGCATGTCTCACACGCTAAGGTGACACTGAGCACACTGTTACTGGTGTCACAGGGCAAAGTAAGACGCCTGGGAGACTGTATGACACAGTGATGACTTGCAAGCCTTTACAGGATTGGTTGTCGAACCACTTCCCTCTCTTTGCCTCCATTTCCCCCTCTGAAAAATGGGGATAACGATACCCACCATACGGGTCTGAGAGATAACGCATGTGAAGAGCCAGGTCAGGGCCTGCTTTTCCTTTTTCACGCTCCGAGTGTCACTTCCCCAGAGGCCATTCCTGGGGACCTTCCCTTTTCTCCCTCTCAGGGCTCCCTGTTGTGCTCTACCCAAGTCTTAATTATTCACATACTTGGGTGCTTGTTTAATGAGCCATTATTCTATAGCTTGTTGAGAACAAGGACCTCTCTGCCCATTTCCTCAGCATTTTCACCCACGGAAGACACTTGATACACATTATCTAAATGGACGAAGTGATTATTAGCTCTTTGGACAGGTGTCTTATCCTTAGAATAATTTAAATTCCCAGGTTTCCAGGGTAATGCCGATTTTTTCAAACACTATACGTATTAAGATGTTGTAGGGAGATGGTTTCATTCTTTCAGACGGTTTTCAGTCTCTTCGTTAGAGACAAGGCATAATTATACCAGTTTAGGGACATAGCAGGCTCCATCCTTGCCTTTGACCCTTTTCCCACACCTGGGTGAGGACGGGTGTCCGTCATGATGGTGGAGTGACTCCCATGGCCTCACGGGCCTTCCTGTCCGAGGAGCAAGGATCCGGCCCTGGAGAATGGAACAGCTGTCTGTAGTCTCGTGCCATCCACATGCGGATGATGGCATGTTTGCTCCTGCCTCCCGGGGGAGTTCCGTATTCATGGGACAGGAGAGCTCTTTAACACAAAACAGGCCCACCATTAGGGAATGGCTCCTGCTCCGACTTTGGGATCCTGAAGCCTTGGCAGCCCGAGATGGCGCTGCTGCCTCCTGGGGTCTCTGCTTCCCTCAATGCCAAGGCACCCCTTCAGGCCAGGTTTTCAATAGTCCTTTCCCCTTGGGTATGGGGCACATGCTCTGTGCTTAACTATGCAGACAGGGGTCCAGAAAAGCCCTGGGAGAGATCATTCCTGGGGAGCACAAGTGATTCAGACCAACCAAGCTCGAGCTGTGTGACCTCAGGCAAAGCGTGTAACTTCTCTGAGTCTCACTGGTGAATCTGGGATAATACTGACTCCATGGGGTTATGAGAAGAAGCTGAGGGGCCTGGCACGGAGTGTGTGCTCAGTAGAGGTTAGTCTCCTTTCCCCTGCTTCAGCAAGACAGTCACCAACCACACTGAACCCAGAGACTTCTCCCCGACGCAGGTGGTGTGGGGGGCTGGGCCCGAGAGGCAGAACCCTGCACTCACTCAGGCCGGCAGAGCCCCCAGCACTCTGCCAGCTCCCTTCACCTGGTCCCGTCGTCAGGAGGCCTTCTAGGGGCAAAATGAAGACCGTGGGTGGGCAGACCTACAAGGGGGAGATGGTACTGGCCCAAACTTCTAAGAATCTAATCATAATTGTCTAAGTATTTAAACAACTTACTGCATGTTAGGTAGGCACTTTCTAGGGGACCCAGGCATGGGCGGAAGCAAAGAGTTAAAGGCAGCCGCGGTCAGCACGTGGAACATTTGGTGTTTTAATTAATTTATTTTATTTATTTATTTATTTTGCGGTACGCGGGCCTCTCACTGCTGTGGCCTCTCCCGTTGCGGAGCACAGGCTCCGGACGCGCAGGCTCCGCGGCCATGGCTCACGGGCCCAGCCGCTCCGCGGCATGTGGGATCCTCCCGGACCGGGGCACGAACCGTGTCCCCTGCATCGGCAGGCGGACCTTCAAGCACTGCGCCACCAGGGAAGCCCACATTTGGTGTTTTGACCATAGTACTTGACCCTTTGAGAGGTCGGCAGGGGTTGAATGCCATTCAAAGCAAGGCCCAGGGCCCAGGGAGAGCAACCTCGTGCTCACTGTTCGTAGCTGGTTAGTGCAGAGCTGGATCTACGATCTGCGTCTTTTGTGTTTTTCTGAAGATAATTTTCTGCAGATAATTTCTCAGTGGTGGCGTAAGTGATAAATTTGGATTGAGCTGAAGGGAGACCTCCCTCCCTTTCAACTGAGGAAGATCACCCTTTTAAGAAGAATTGTAGACTCTAGAGCTGAACGTGTCTTCGGCAGTTATAATCTAGACTCCTCTTATCCACTGACGCTCTGTCCCAACCGTAAAGCCCACTCCCAGCCTTGAGGGGACCATCCTTCCTCACAGTCCCAAGGCCATCGGAAAACAAAAAACAAGCATACTTACTGTTTTCCTGTCATCAGAGGCTTGGGGCAGGGGCTCGGCTAAGACGCATGCTTTAGCTGAAGAGGTTAGGGCTTTGGGGGGCCCCTTCTGGACGTCTGCCAGTGTCCTTAGTCCTAGGTCACCCGGGACCCTCTCAGCCTGGGCGTCTTCAGGGAGAGGCTCTCGATATTGCTTTGGGGAGCTTGGCATCTGCCTGTGGTCAGCAGTCTGTACCCCTGGGATGGGACAGGAGCCCCATGCTCCTTAGAGACCTCCAACTAACTGGCTGGCCCTCCCAAGCACAGCCAGGCCAGGAAGCAGGCCCAGGGCTCTTCAAGCTCTGTCACAGGGTCCTTGGGGCTCCCAGTTCACATCTGCAGGCTCTGTGGTTCTCACAACCACCCGTTTCCTCTGACGGCATCACAGACCATCGAGGAGCCACCTTCCCCAAGTTCCTGTTTATGGGGGAGAAGCAGCGGCCTCGTCATGATCCTGGAGGGAGAGGTTTCTCTCTGACTTTGTGGCTTGGTCTGATCCAAGGACCACAGAACCAAGCTAAATGAGCAGGAGTTTCCCATGCTTACCTGGTCATAATAATCACCTGAGCGGCTTGTTAGTATCAGATCCCTCGGATTCCCCCCACATCTTCTGAACCCAAGTCACCAGAGAAGCAGCCCAAAAATTTGAATCTTAAACACTCCAAGAGATTCCTTTGACTAGCAAGTATGGGAAGCACTGCCTTGGAGTGTCCCAATCCTTAATGTGTATAGGAATCCCCTGGGGATCTGGTTAAACAGCAGATTCTGGTTCAGTGGGGTCCAAGATTCTTCATTGCTAACAACTCCCAGGCGATACCCATGTTGCTGGTTTGGGAACCACACTTTGTGTAGCAGGACCTGGACAGTGGTTCTGCAAGTGTGGTCCCTAGGCCAGCAGCCTCAGCATCATCTGGAAATTTGTTAGACATGCCAGTTCTCAGGCTCTCATCTACCCAATCAGAAACTCCATGGTAGGGGGCCAGCAACCTGTTTTCACAAGCCCTCCAGGTAATTCTGATGCACACCCTGAACTTAAGAACCACTCGGCTAGGATAAAGAATCTCTGATAGAACCCCCTTTGATTGGTATGTTTAAATCAGTCATTAAAATTTAAATTTAGGGAATTCCCTGGTGGTCTAGTGGTTAGGACTCCACGCTTCCACTGCTGAGGGCCCGGGTTCCATCCCTGCTTGGGGAACTAAGATCCCACAAGCCCGTGTGGCGTGGCCAAAACAAAAAAATTTTTTTTTGAATTTAAATTAATAAAAATCTCAGCTCATTAGTATCTAAATAACCACCCATTCACTGCCTCCCCATTAGGGGCTTAGCAATCCTGGAGACAGTTGCTTTTAACACAAAACCGCTATTTCACAGACAATGCAGCCTTTTCTGGGGCCTTGAGCACACCTGGGCTCAGGTTCTCCCTTTCTCCCGGGGAAGGCTGGTTTGAGATTTAACTCCTGCGGCACCCGGCATGGAGAGCTGAGGAAGCCAGAGTGGAGGTTCTAACCAGGATGTTAGGGTGGGTGACGGCCACTCAAGGATGTGGCCTGTGGCTGGGAGGGAACTGATCACAGGCCCACCCTCCTGCTCTTGCCTCCATACCACCGCGACGTCCATCTTACCATCTGACAGGCAGACTTTTGGACTGGCCTTAAGGAGAGGCCCATGAACGAGGAAGGAAGTAGGGAATGACCATCTACGGTCTCAAAAAAATCCCACCATATCCTCTCCCGTTCCACTCAGGGAGGCACCTGAGAATTAGAGAGTTTAAAGCCAAGATCTGCTGCTTTGTTACTTTTTTGACCATTTGTAAATTGGTTACCTCTGGGCCTGTTTTCTCATCCACAAAACTGGAATAGGGTCTACCTTACTGGCTCAGTAGGAGGAACATTCAGGAAGGTGTAAGGGCGCAGCCTGTAGTTAATAAAATATGAAAATGCATCGATTTTGGAAGAACTGGGAACTTTTTCTAGCTAGGTGTCCTTGGCCAAATCACTTAACTTTCCTCAGCTGTTCTTTGTCTGTAAAACACACTGCCACTTTGCAGAGTCGCCATGAGAACTGGGTGTGACAATTTATACGGAAAAGCTTCACACAACCATCTTGGGTAGGGAGCATCTACCTGGCCACTTCCTTGCCTCTCACAAAGCAGGCACCCCAACTTTTTTTTTTTTTGGAATATATTGAATAGGAAGAAAGGAAATGAAAATGAGAAGAGGATGAGTGTGGGGCCCCAGCCAGTTGGGGCCCAACTCCAGGCACACAGCCAAGGTGGGAAATAGGCAACCATCCCTGCCGATGTGTAGCCAAGGCAGCTGGAGCAAGGTGGGTTCGTAGAGCAACTGTGCCCATGAGACCACCTCCAGCTCTGGAACTCTGCTTTTGCCTCTTTTGTAAGGACCTCAGCACGGTCACCTGTATCGGCCCACATGCATTTGTTTTCTGTCCCTTACCAGGATGGACAGGGTCGAGTCATTTTACAAGTATCTGCCACAGACACAGCAACCTCGATGTAGTGGTAGCCGCAGCCCCTGGACCATTCAAAACTGACCTGAGACGGCTGCCTCCTGAAATTATCCTTGGTGGGTATGAAGACAGACCCTTCTGGCGAAATACAGTCTGGTCTGTTGGAGGAGCCCTGGCAGGTGGCTGCAGATTACTACATGAGGGGTGGGAGGTGGCAACTGCGCAAAGAAGGCGGAGCTGAGATGCAGAATGCCTTTCCAAGATCTTGGCTTCTCCCGCATCACCTCACGGTCAGGCTTCTCACGGTCAGGTTTTCGGTTTGAGAGGAATACAGGCGTGTCAGATGGACTCAGGGTTCAATCTCGGCTGGCTTACTGGTATGACCTCGGGCAAATTATTTACCCTGGGTCTTGGTTTCCTCACTTTAAATGGACAGTGTTGCTGGGTGGATAATCATCAGGTATGTGAGTATGCCCAGCACGGAGCCCACATGCAGCCACTCGGTACCCCCCTGAGCCCCAGGAAGTGGCTTGAGAGAAGTCACACCAGCCACCGGGTAACAATGAGACACATACAGCTTTATTTCATCATTCGTAAAAAGTTGTACTCTGACAGAGTAACGCATTCCGTATCTCAGAAGAAAGCAAATGCTACATCTGAAAAGCCCCTTCCTAAGATCAGAACTGTGTAACCCTTCTCTATGTAACATCTCAATGCCCTCAAAGCTGGGCCCTTACTGGGTGGCAGTTGCTTTCACCCTCCTCCTGGTGACACTCTCTGGGTGGCTGTGACTCCCTCACATAGCAGCGGACTGAACAAAATTCTACCCGGACAGGCTGCCCTTACAGATTGGCCCCTTCTCTCCTACAAAAGGGAGTTCACAGGAATGAATAACTTCCTGAGAAATGGGTTCTATCTGACTTTCATTTAGCTTCCATTAAGTCTGCTGAAATCAAGTCTATACTGTTCCTCTCTCCCCAGCCATTTCCTCATCATGCACATAATTTTCAGGCTATACCTCTCCCTTCTGGGGCAATCGAGGGATGGAGAGTGTTCCTCCTGGGCGGCGCTTCCTGCAGACGTCTGGTATGTGGTATCAGACACTGCAGGGACTCAGTTTTGTTCTGACAGAGCAGAGGCCTGGAATTTCGTTTTCCCCTTCCTGTGCTAAAAAAGTCCAGTGATTAAGCCACACTCACTCCTTGGGAAAAACTCCACGTTGCATCAGAACCTCTTCATTCGTGGGCTTCTAAGAGAACATATCCCTCCCTTTTATTCACAGAATAGTAGATATGAATTCATTTGGAGAGGAGAAGGTGGCTGGCCACCCGGCTGCTTCTCTATGTAACAGCCTCCCTTCTGTTGGTCACAGTCAACAATCCAAACAGGAACCATGATCTTCCACGTTCCTCACAACTGCTCTCTCCTGAAGTCACTTTGCAGATCTCGTTGACCAACATGGAAACGAAAGAGAATGCAATGGCCTACCCAACCTAGAAACCTGCTCTGAATATTTCCCCTAAAAACACCACTGAAAATGCAAAAAAAGAGTCCCTTTTTTTTTTGTTTTTTGCAGAAGCTCTACAAGAAAGCCTGTCTAAAATCACAGAACTATGTACACACAAACACAGACACGCGTGCTCACACACATACATCAGGATCAAACAATCTTAGCTACACAGTTGGGAAAGCACAGGGAAAAGCTGGCAAGAGAAGATGTGGAGATCTGATCAGCTGAAGGTGTTGGAATGCTACAGTGATGGCATGGAAGTGGTTCTCGGTACATACAAAAAGAGGGGTGGGCAGGCAAAGAGGATGATTAATCCAGGATACCAGAAAGAGAGAGTCAGTGGCCATGCAAGACTTAAAGATAGATAGATGCCAGTTTGCTGGATGAAGTGTTATATTATGGAATGGTTGTTTGAAGGAGGATGGACTTGCATGGTCCAGGGGAGGAGCATCTGCTTAGCAGGACACCTCCATGGTCTGGTGTCTGTCCAGAACATCAGGAGACTCAGAGGATTCTTGAGCTCCATCTGAGTGATTGCTGGTGACAGATCGGCTGAAGGCACTTTCTCCAGAGCCGATGCTACTTGAGGTGGAGTGGGTCCGTGATCGGGCGAGCCGGGTCATGCTGGCAGATGGGACTGTAAGAAAGAACCAAGAGGACTATAGGAGGGAACCCTGGTTAAACTCAGCTAATCTAGAAGTTTCACCAAAAGCTTTACATTTCGCTTTCCCAACCCATTTAAGGTGACACCAGGACAAGACACAGCCATCCCCACTTTGCATTACTGGCTCTAGGTGAGGGGCTCTAGGCAAGGCTGCTTTAATCCTCTGGTTCTGGCTGGAATCTCAGCTGATTCTAGTCCACAGCAGAACAAGGGGAAACCTAAGTCCAGAGTATAGCCTCTTAGCTATGCCCATGCCATTCATAAGGTGATTAGGAAGGAGGTTTTGGGAACCCAAGTAGGTAACCAAAACCTACAGTGCATGCAAGACTAAACCAAAGAAAGACAAACCACACCAACACAAGTATGACGGTGTTTCACAAACACAGTGCAAGCCCGATATAACAAGACTACCATCCGTGTCCACAGGCGACCCTTGCTACCTGGGGAGGAGACATGTAGGAAGATGAGGTGTAGGGAGGGCAGGCGGGCCTGGAGCTGGTCTCTGCATAGGGGGTGAGGTACAGGCTGCCTGTGAGCAAGGGCACGGGAGGTGGCTGTTTAACTCAGACTCCTGCCTACTGCCACTGCTTTGTCTGTAAGGTCCTTCCAGCTTGGCCAGGAAAGGGCCTTACCTGGCATACCCCCCTGCCTATCTTTCTGAGACACGAGCCACTCCCCCAGCTGCCATTTCAATGCTGGGGTCTGAAGATGCCATCACCTGCAGTTCTCCGGGCACAGGCTCTGACGCTCCTAATTGAGAATCCAGTGTCTGGGGATTAACTCAAGGATCAGTAAGTAGGTGGTGGTGAAGGAGGGGCCCTGCCTATAAAGTTTCAGCTGCCGCTGTGACCCTGGCTGTTACAACCCGCTCCTTTACTCCTGGGGGAACCAGGGCGGGACCTGCAGGCTAACTCGCACAGGGCACAACGAGCCACGTTCTATCGGGCTCTCACTGCACAGGAAAACCACGGACATGCTGCGGGCAGCCAATGCAGCCAGGAGAGCATGGCTGGGAGGCAGGGGCAGGGGCCAGCATAGAGAAAGGTACCTGACTCGGTGCTCAGGTGACTGAGCTGCACATACGGGACTGGAAGCAGGATGGACACAGGAAAAGGCAGGTTAGTGATCCGACAGTGCCGAGCGGCAACCTTGACTGCCTAGCAGACGCTGACAGAACACTCTAAGCCAGGGGTGAAGTTTTATTTTAAGGCCCCAGAAAGGAGGTGAGGCCAACTGATGCTTCAGTAACATCTCAGATGTTACTTCTCTCAACTAGTCAAAGGTTTTCTCCTTCCCTATAAACAGCCAACCTGCTTGGATCAGAAATGGATCCAACAGCTGGAAGATCAGCTGCTTCCTAGGAAAGGAGAGGGACTTCTGCTCCTCCCAGAGGGATATGGGTGTGGGCTCGGTTGGTAGTGGCTCACAGACGGGGATGACACAGCCACTCTAGACGAGACATACACGAGCTGCCTGCCAGGTACAGGGCTGTACCCAGGGGCTCAGCTGCTGCCCAGAGCAGCTGCCCAATCGTCATTAAACACATTGATACCAAAGACAGGAGAAAAATCACCCTACTGGATAAAGAGCTCTGTACCTGGATAGAAGAGTTTTCCTTTTTATAACTCCAAGAAAGGAGCAAGTGTGGATATTCTGTGACAAATGAGAAAGCTCAGGGGTCTCACAATACAAGAGACCAGGACAGTGGCACATGATATGGACACATCCTTGGATTCACTCTAAAATATTCTGCAAGTTCATCTCCTGTGGTGGAGCAGACTTAACTGATTTAACTTCTTTTCTTCTGGAGTCTCCATTTTGTTTCTCTAGTCCAGGAGTCATTAACCAGCTGAGTTCAGATGCAAATAACAACTTCAGATTCACAGCTAGATCTGGCTAAGCTTCAGTGGTTGAAAATGTGGGCTCTGGAGTCAGACTGCCAGGGTTTGAATCATGGCTCTGCAGCTGAATTGTTACCCTGGGAAAGGTGCTTAGACTCTTTGAGCCTCAGTTTCCTTTTCTATAAAATGGGACTAATAACAGAACTTACCTCTCAAGGTTAAGAATATAGAGTGCCTGGCACAAAGTAAGTGCTTAATAAGCATTAGCTCATCTTTATATATATGCACAGATGAATGTTCCATAAACCTTTTGGTTTCTACTTGATTTCAGGCTGGCTAGCACAGAGGTTAAGCCCTGAGAATTGAGTACTCATCAGATGCCAGAATGACCCCATTATCAATAAATCTTTGGCAGAATAGAAAGTTGTGTACTACTCACTGTAGCCCATTCCCTGCAAAAAGTACTTGAAGGCCTCGGTGAGCTTCCCAGGCTAGGGGGACAAAATGAGAAGGCATTAATCTTTGCACAGTCAGAGAGCTGGAATCAAATGGGTGCTTTTAAAAAAATCTCCTTACCTGAACTACTTGGGGGAGTCCACCACAGTCTGCCATCTAGAAGAGGAAAAATACGTAAGTCAGCTGACACTTACACTTAAGGGAAATGCTCTGAATGAACATCCATGGGTCCTTTCAAACAGGACAGGATCAAATTTTAGGTTCCTTAACTTAATGTTTAACTACATCCAAGTGTCCATCTCCTCAATGCACTCTTTTTTTTTAATATATAAATTTATTTATTTATTTATTTTTGGCTGTGTTGGGTCTTCGCAGCTGCATGCGGGCTTTCTCTAGTTGTGGCGAGCGGGGGCTACTCTTTGTTGCAGTGCGCTTGCTTCTTACTGTGGGGCACGAGCTCTAGGCGTGCGGGTTTCAGTAGTTGTGGCACGTGGGCTCAGTAGTTGTGGCTCGCAGGCTCTAGAGCACAGGCTCAGTAGTTGTGGCGCACGGGCTTAGTTGCTCCGTGGCATGTGGGATCTTCCCGGACCAGGGCTTGAACCCGTGTCCCCTGCATTGGCAAGTGGATTCTTAACCACTGCACCACCAGGGAAGTCCCCCTCAATGCACTCTTTTT